AATAGAGACATTTAGAGTGAATTGAGTTTTCAGGTTTTACTAGTTTGTTTTATGGAATGGAATTTCAGCATCATTTACCCCTAATTATAATAATAACCTTTAATGAGACTTATTTTAAGTGAATATGTAGCATTTTAGCCCCACAGGTGACTTGTAGTAGAATGAAGGGTAGAATCTGAAGTGGCATATAATTGAGTGTCTCTAAACTAGAGTAGCTTACAGGAGATTTTATTGTCTTCAACAATACCCACAGAAGTTTCTCAGCTGATAGGCTGTCCTTGAGTAGATGCATCTCAAGTGAGAGTTAATGGGTTTTTCTGGAATAAGAAATTAGAGGTTACTGAAAGCAAGTTGCTCTTGCCAGGTCTTGTTTCCCTAATGATAACATTTTTATCCAAAGTCCCAGCCCTTGCTATGACATGTCGGCTAAATTACCTCTCTGAGTTTCACAACATAATCTGGGACTATTTCTGCTCTGCTCATGGTCAGGGCATCCCTGCAGGTGCTCACTAGATGGTTGGTGATTTCATGAAGGTTAATTCCTGTCTCCCAAAGAACCTGCTTACCCCAATATCCATGCCTTAATGAACCTGACAACCTGACCTTTCTTATGTACTGCAGGTAGGAAAGGGCTGCTGTGCTGCTCTCAAGGCCCTTGGAGCAATTGTCTACATCACAGAAATTGACCCTATTTGTGCTCTGCAGGCCTGGTAAGAACAGTGTGATGATATTAGATTCACTTCAGGTACTTTATGTTTCTGAGAGTTCTTGATTTATTATATTAATCATTTTTGCAGAAATCTCCCAGAGGAAGAGAAGGTTAGAAATGCTCTGTCAACCTCAGTGTAACCCTGGGGCTCTTCTGGAGCCTCTTTCACTTTCCCTTCCTGAATGGAGCCTTGGGGATTCTGAGGAGGCCAGTGTATATAGTTTAGCACAGCTTATCACTTTCCATCCCTGTGAGGTGGCACCGGCTCTGACTTTAGAAGGGGGTCTTGTTGTCTCATTTTGTGGCCAGCTTCCCCTGCACTGTCTCCTTGCTTTTACTCATAATGTTCTTTTCTTTTCTTCCAGCATGGATGGGTTCAGGGTGGTAAAGCTAAACGAAGTCATCCGGCAAGTTGATGTTGTAATAACTTGCACAGGTAAGTATCAACGCTTTGGTGTGCGTGGAGGAGTGTTAATTCTGAGGTTAAATCTTGAAAATAGACTGACTTTCACAGAAAGTAGGACAGACCCGTACTCAGTATAAAGGTCTCAGAACTTAAGTAAGCTATCAAAACCTTGACATGTTTTTCAGAGGAGAGAACCTTTTTCCGTGGTGACTTTTGTATATTTCTTGGTCTTATAACCAGATAACGGAGCGTAAGGAGCTATTATGCACTGATTTTCTCACAATGTATATGTGTTCTTTAATGCCAGCAAACCTCCTCTCTCCCATGTTCCAACTGAAAGCTGGTCAGTACCTTTGTTTCTGGCATTTTTTTCTTCAGCCACTCATCTTTACTTTTAGGAAATAAGAATGTAGTGACACGAGAGCACTTGGACCGCATGAAAAACAGTTGTATTGTATGCAATATGGGCCACTCCAACACAGAAATCGATGTGGTAAGGCTTCTCTCAC